TTAGAACTAGTTCTTGTCAAAGATGAACTGGTACTGGCACTGGGTGCGTATGAATTGACCCGGAGTCTTTCCTTGCTTTATCTTGAACTGAAATCAGTCAGGTGATTGTCTGAAAATGAGTGAAAAAGCAGGCAAAATCCAAGGAAAAACTTATAGAAGATCCTCAGAAAGCCTGGAGGACCATCAACTAAGTTTGGAACTGACTATAATGAAAGAAGAAATAACTCGGGAACTTTTTCGTGACTAGTCTACTCATTTGCGTCTTTCGATATGAGCTCGGGGTGTTGTGTAAAGTTCACCAACTTGTCATGTGTGGTTGATAGGAGAAGCAGTGTCTGTCATTGGCTGGCCCCTGAGTCACTCTGCCATTATAAGGAGGTGCGCAGCGACGCTCTGAGCCCTCCAGAGCCTCTCCCTCCCACCGTGGAGGTACCTTGTGATCACAACTGTCGGCATCGAACCGACCACACTGTGACGTCCCCGGCTCAGTGTGAGTCAAGACACCACAGGAGGAAATCCCCACGGCAGAGAGTGACGGGAGGCCCCTTTAAATCGACGCAGATTCTTCCTCCTTGGTGGGGTGCCAGGAACAGGAGAGAGGCAGAGAAAGAGGAAGAGAGCTCCGATAAACAACAACAACAACGCGTCTCTCAGCGGCACATTTTGACGGATTCAGCTGTGTACTGCGGCGTCTTGACGCACAAGGTGAGTTCAATTCACTCTGTTTATCTTTATTCATGAGGGATTGTTGTGATGTTGTTTAAAAGTCGAGCGGGAATGAAGTGTTTTAACCCACAGATAGACCTGAAAACACGATATTAGGCGACACTGTGACGCAGGTAGAATAATTTCTACACCTGTTAATAGTAATACAGCGGAAAAAACAGCGCTTGTTTCTGTATAAACATCGAATTACTGTCGGTTTGTTAAAGACACGCCGCTCATAGTTCCCGGATCTCTTTCTAATTGCCGTTTTTACTGTTGTCAACAGACTGCGAGGACTTTTCCCGCTGTTATTTCCAACATTTTGGGTGTTTTTTTTTTTTTTTTTTTTTTTTGCCTCTACACGTTTCGGTATTGAGAGCCATTGCGGAAGTGAGAATCTTCTATTCAACGCGACAGCTACGCTCGTGTCTGTGCTGACATCTAGCGGCCGAACAGGAGAGCTGCAGCATGTACGGAGCTTCAGGCATCCCCGAACTGATCCCACACAGCGGGCCGCCCCGCCAGCCCGGCCCGGCTGGGCAGTTCAACCCGGGGCACCCGCAGGGCGAAGGACACGACGGCGGTGCGAACCCCCAGAGGCTCGGACAGAGGGCTCCGAAACTGGGTCAGATCGGTCGGACCAAAAAAGGTGAGAAATACTTCAATCGAAAGCATTTTTTTGCTTTTTTGTTTATTATTCTCAAGCTGTATGTTTTATACACAAAACTGTTTGTAGGAAGCAGCTCCACATAGACTGCAAACATAAAGCACATTTACACAACCTTGGTTGAATAAAGTGCTTTTAAAAACATACCCAAAAAAAATCAGTAATTGCTTCACTTGCAAAAGTATTCATACCCCTGGAAATTTCTCACATTCTTGGCTTTACAGCCACAAACTTTAATGCATTTCATTGGGATTTATGTCGTAGACCAACACAAAGTAGTGCATAATTATAAAGTGGAAGGAAAACTATGCGTTTCTTTAGAAATAACAATCAGAAAAGTGCCTGTTCTTCTTTTCATAATGGGTCCAGCTCCGTCAGATTGGATGGAGATCTTCTGTGAGCAGCAATGATCAAGTCTTGCCACAGATTCTTAGTTGTATTTAGCTCTGAATATGCTTCAACCTGAACCATCCCATTGTAGCTGTGGCTGTATGGTTGGGGTTGTTGTCCTCCACCCCTTCCTAATATTTCAACAGCTTTGAACAAGGTTTCTTCCAGGGTTGTCCTATATTTATCCATCTTCCCATCGCCAGGCATTCTTGGTTAGTTTTGTCTGAACAGACTTTAATTTATAAGGATATCTGCTCCGTATACTCCAGATCCAGTAATTAAAAATGGGAGACATGGTGACTATTTTGCTACAAGATACGCAACGCTGAGAAGGTTTATAACTATGTCACCTTATTATATAATCCTTGTAAAAATGTTAGTAGCTAAAGAAATTTAAAAAAATTGTCCAGGGACTTTTGGTAGATGAAAAGACCCACAGCATTACTGATCCACCATACTTTACAGTTGGCATGAGGAGCTTTGCCACAAATCCGTTCTTTGTTTTATGCCAGTCCCACCTGGACTGTAGTGTTCCTGGGGGAAAAAGAAATAACGGCATTTGAATAGAAAATACCTCGGCAGTAAATGTATTGTAGGAAGGGGAATAAAAGGCCTCAGTTGCCGTGGAGCCAGCGGTTTTTAGTGCTGCGTTTCATTTGACTCTGCATAGAGATGTTTCTATTTTTGAACTCGCCTCATGCAAATGTGGTGGACTGAATGATGGAGCCAGCTTTCCATTTAACCACCCAGGAAAAACAAAAGTCCATTTGCTCTGCGAAGAACCAAACTAATTTGGAAAATAATCCATTTACTTTTCAGTCATCAAAACCAGAATAAGAGTAGCTAAATTAATTAAATAAGAAGGTTCATTAAAAATGAAAAATGTATATATATATATATTAAGAGTGTGCAGTCTGTTTGCTCAGTTAAAACATCTTCCCTCTTTTTACAGTGGACCTGGATGATGAAGACCTGGACGACCTCATGAACAACAACGGCCAGTGCCCCGTCTCCCTGTCACCGATCTCCTAACTTCTCAAAGAAGTGCCAAAAAGCCCCCAGAAACCCTCTTCCCATCAGCGCTCTTGGTCCTAAGTGTCCTCCTGGAGCTTCTGGTGGCTCATCGGGGCTCCAAACCGGCTCACTTAGTGCCGACTGAAGCCCCCAGGGGGCCCTGATTGTACATAGTGTCTATTTAACTTCGCTCAGACTGTGAATGAATCGTACTGCGTCTCTCTCTGTACCTCTGTAGGCTGTCAGGACTCTAAGGGTTTTTCAAAGCTTCTTCTCAGAAAAGTTGCTGCTGTCGCACCTGAGGTAGACCGCAGCTGACCAGCCGGACGTGTCCGACGAGGGTTACTGATTCTCTGTGGGTTTGTTGTGTGAAGAAACACGAGCCTGTTAACGTGTATCAACCACGTGAAAATTTAAGCTTTGCGCAACGACTCGCACAGATCCTAATGGTGTAGCTATTACCCACTGAATGAAAGCTCGCTATTGAAGGTAAAAGTAAACGACTACTGCAAATTATTTATTGTTTAAAGAAATGTGTATTTTTTTGTTGTTGTGGCTTCTACTTATTCTTATTTCTTTTCTTTGTCATCTAAAAGTGGGATTTATATTGTTTCCAAATGGTGCACTTTGTGGGAATGCCTGTCATGTGCTGTGACACGTCGCAGAAACCTATGCATGAGGTCTGTGCAAGCGTCCAAACTGGTATCCTGTGATTTAAGGGCTACGTAGTAGTTTTCCTAAACCAAAACACTGTTTTGCTGAGCTTGTTATCGGCCCGAGCTGCAGACTCGGCAGGAAAAAATGTCACAAACAGCTAATTTTTATGCACTTTGTTTCTGTTCTTGTTTTTCTTTTTTTAATCAGATTTATACCTAAATATATTCTGGTTCGCATGTAGGACGCTTATGTGTTTATATTAATGAATTAGTTTTTGTCACAGCATCTTTCAGAGTTGGGCGAACTATTTAAAGGTCATGATTGCAGTAAGATCAAAAAAACGGGCAGCTCTGATTGGCTGTCGCTGGTGAGGCAACCTAACCCTGATGTTTTGGGGGATTTTGTAAAGATTGGAGTGGAATTAGACGTAATGGGCCTTTAAAGGCTTGTGATTGAGGTCATGGTCCACTGTTGGTGGCCGTTTCACACAGCTCACGTCTCTGACTCCGATGTTGAGGTTGTGTTTGCCTTTTGCATGAAAGTGATCAACTTTTCATGATGCATCTCTGGAAATAAAAGTATAAATCCTTAGAAAGTCTGTTTATTTGTACTCTAGGTACGTGAGAAGAAGTCCTCATGGCTTTAAAATAATCTGAGGTTTGCTGTTTATTACAGATGTAGTCCACAAGATTTAAAAACGGTTGCATTCAAATTATCCACAAAACCACATATTCATGGTGATCTTCCACCTAAGTGGAATCTTGTTCCTTTTGAAAAGGCAGGTTATAGGAATGAAAGTTGGCCTTTCATGACGACACGCAGTCTTAAAGTTCCCGTGGGCCTTTTGAAAGAGGAACAAGCCCACAGCATCACACATCATGCACCATGTTTGCTAGTGGGTATAAGTTGCTTTTCCACATATTTATTCTTTGTTTTACAACAAACCCACCTGGAGTGTTTGTTGCTAAATCCAATGTAAACGGTTCCAGTTAAAGTCCCAGTAGCGTTTAGCAAACTCCACCTGTTTACGTTTGGGATTAAAGATCAGAAAATGTATATATTTATTTACTGACATTGTTCACGTGTTTTAAAGTTGCTGATTAAATGGCATGTTCTCTCGTCTTTCCCATTTTTAAAGAGTGGCTGAGAAGTCTGGTCCATATTCCTCAATTAAAAAAAAAAAAAAACTTCATAGATGCTCTGATTAATATTCAAAATAAAATGATATTAAAGAAATTTCTGGAGGTGCCAAAATTTATGGCAGTTTTTTGTTTTAGCTCAATAATTGTACGGAAATAAAAAGCAGGATTTTCTTTCTAACTTTTTACATGTCAGATGTGGTTACTCTGCAGTAAAACATTTATTTTAAGGCTTTTTACACATCTTTCCCTTGAAGGCCAATAACTGGTCCTGCTAAAAGGTAGTTCATCTTGTCCAAATATTGTCTTCAGTTTGTGCGGCATCCCTCTTTGCTTCTAAATATTTTTGGCACTAGTGTCCACCATTCACTAGTGTCTGGATAGGAAGTAGGGTAGAAGGAGAAGGGGGCGCCGTGCTGTCTTCCTGTTCTAGGGGCTGGGAATTGAACTCGGGACAGTTGCATGGAGGACCCTAGCCTCTGCATATGGTGCGCCTGCTCTACCGCTGAGCCACGCGACGCCCCCAGCATCCCTCATTTTGAAAACAGATTTTTTGAAATGTACATATTAATGATGTACGGCATGTTAACTACGTGACACACGGCGATGCACGGAGTTGCTGGCCGTGGAGTCGTATGACCAGTTTAACAATTGACCAGTTTTCCACACCTCCAATAATGTGGAAATGCCAAATGTTTTCGAGGACCCTGGTGTGGATTTTCCAGCTGGATAATCATTGTACAAGTCCAGACCTGATTTCCACAGTACACCTTGAGCATTATGACCTGAGTCCTCTCCTAGTACTCATAAATATGTTACTGAACTGGTATTCTCCCCCTCACATATTACTTTTGTTTTTGCTTTTTTTTTCATGTAACAAAACATACCCCTTAAACACATTTTAATATGAGACAAAGATAAGCTGAGTAAATATAAAAAAGCAGCAAATTAAGATTTTTTTTTTTTTTTAATTGAAGGAAAAATGATCAAAACCAACCTGGAACTAAGTGGAAAAGTAATTGCCCCCTAATTAAATTATGAATTAACTGTGATTAACCACATTTTTTGTGTTTGTATTTCACCTGCCACATCCAGGCCTGATTACTGTCAAAACCAGAACTGTTTCTTATTGTACGGCCACATCTGAAACAATATCTTGAAAAACTTCAATATTCTTTGTCACTCATTCAGAAGGTGAGTCTTATATATTGTATAGATTTAGTACACATTGAATGAAACATTTCAAGCTTTTATTTCATGTAATTCTGATGATTTTTGGCTCACAGATAATGAAAACTTAAAATTCAATGCCAGAAAATTAAAATATTACATAAAGTCAGTAAAAAAAAAAGTTATTTTAGACTGAAATGTCAGACTTCTGAAAAGTATGTTTTATTTCTCCGCGCTCTATTTGTTCAGCGATCAGCCTGAGGTTCTGCTGAGGTGTAATGGAAGCCCAGGTTGCTTTGATATCTGCCTTCAGGTCATCTGTATTATTGGGTCTGGTGTCTCTCTACTTCCTCCTGACTTTACCCTGTAGATTCTTCCTGGGGTTGAGGTGAGGCCAGTTTGATGGCCAATAAATCACAGCAACGTCAATAGACCAGCTTTTGGTACCGTTGGCAGTGTGGGTTGGTACCAAGCTCTGCTGGTACCAGATATCCTGGTTGATGGCTGTGTTGACTGGGGTATTCAGAAAACACCGTGGACCAACACCAGCAGATGACATGGCACCCAAAAACCATCACTGACTGTGGAAACTTCACACTGGGCTTCCAGCAATATTGATTATGTCCCTCTCCACTCTTCCTCCAGACTCTGGAACCTTGATTTCCTAATGAAATGCAAACTTTACTTTAATCTGAAAAGAGGACCTTGGACCACTGAGCAACAGTCCAGCTCTTATTCGGCTTGGTCCAGGTGAGACACTTGTAGGCCATCTGTCTGATTGGTTGGGGCTCATGATGCTCATGATGAGTCCAGCCTCAGTCCACTCCTTGTGAAGCGCCACAAAATTCTTGAATGAATGTTACTTGACAATCCTTTTAAGATTGCAATTGCCCATGTTGCTGGTGCCCTTTTTCCTACCATACGTTTTCTTTCCACTCAACTTTCTATGAGTATGCTTGGATACAGCCCTCTGAACAACCAGCTTCTTGAGCCATGACCTTCTGTGGCTGACCCTCCTCAGGATGTCAATGACTGTCTGCTGAACATGGCAGTCTTCCCCATTACATAACTTGTATACATTAAAAAGGATTATTTTCTAAATTGGTGTTATGTATTAAGATTTTCTGAAAACTGAATTGTGGGTTTTCATCATCTGTCAACCCTCCAGTTACAAAAAATAAAAGATTGCAATATTCACCTCTATGTATAATGAATCTAAATAATGTACGAGTTTCACTTTCTGAAATGAGTGACAAAAAATATTGAACTTTTTCATGATATTCAATTTTTTTTTAGATGTACCTGAATGTGAACTATGGAAATGCAAATAGGGCCCAACACGCCACTAGGGGGCACCAAAGCTAAATGTTCAGCCTCTTAGGAGAATAAAAAATTGCTCATATTTCTCCCTTTATAAGCTTGTATGATATAAACAGTATATAAGACACACAAGCTAGTTTACATGTTTTTGTGACATTTATGCTGTTCAATTTAACAGAACAACAACAACTCTGTTAGAAATAATAAATCATAAAATATGCAACATCCTGATGCACAACCTGTTTGTTGAAGCACCTTTTGACTCGATTTTAGCATTAAGTTTTGTCTGCTTGGAGTCTTTCAACATCCCACATTTTGAGTTGGCAATATTTGCTGACTGTGTCCAGATCTCTCAGATTGAGAAGACCTACTGTTTCTTGTCCACAGCCCTCTCCAGGTAAATCCCTGGACTTTGACTTGGCCGTTCCAAATTTTACATTTTTCCTAATAGTTATTTTGTTACTTTGTATGCTTGGACTGACCGTGATGCAGAGATGTTAAATCAAAAGACTACAAAAAAGGTTTGAACACAAGGTTGTCACAGCTTGTTTTGATATATAGTAGTTTGATTTGTTTTACATCACAAAAACCTGCCATTTAAAAGGGGTTGTAAAGGGTAAGACTACAATACAGTTGGTAACAGTGTAGTCCAGCCTACCAAAATTACTCCAAGAGCCCGCCAATGACTCATCCTGGAGCTCATAGAGTCGAAAACAACATCTAAATCCCTGCAGGCCTCAGTTGCATCAGTTAAGGTCAATTGCTGACCAAAAAGAACACAAAGACCTGTCTCACAGTTGCCAAAAAACATTTGGTTGATCCTCAGGACTTTTGGAAAAATATTCTATAGACTGACGAGACAAAAGTCGATTTTGCATCCTGTTACATCTGGTGTGAAACTAACACAGCATTTCAGAAAAAAAAAGATCATACAGGCAGAAAAACGTGGTGGAGCTATGATCTGAGGCTGCTTTAAGGCCTGGATGATTTGAAAAAGCAAAAACTGAAGAAATCTGTAAAGGGGGCAAATACTTTTTCTCAACACTACGTAGCAATTTGCAATCATCACACACTAAATACAACTGCAGTGTTTTTATTTCTCTATGTTTTGACATGTTAAAAATACTCTTTTCATACATTTTCTATGTTCCCATTATTCTGGATGAAGAGCCAGATGTTTGGAAAAAAAAACAGGAGTTACAGCTCAGAGAATAACAGTGTAAAAACTACGTATAATCAAGCTACAGATCCTTCAAACCTACACTTACCCTCGACAAAATAAATAGAAGTATGATCAGGGTAAAAGACAGTATCAAACATTTCTTTCTATCTGAGCAGAGTTTCTAACAGGCTGATCTGAAGAGCAATGGGTGTTGTTTGGTATAGTCTACACAATGAAGCCTGTGTGAGAAGTCCCACCGAGCTCATCATAATATCTATTTTAGTACACACAGATATAATAAAACATTTGCTTATCATCACGTGGACAGAGTTGTAGCCTGCACACCATGGTGGAACATATTGCTTTCAATTACATGACATGTGCTAATAAATGCTAGTTCTGCCATACTGCTGCAAAGATTGGCCTTAATCCATGATATTAGGCTGCAACCCAAGTGGTCACACCCTGAAGGCCTTGTGTATTAAATAGGAGGATCCAATTATAATGTATTTGAGAAGACCAGTTGTAAACAACTGTGGAATGTGTGGATGGAGTATGAAACATCTTTGATGGAACAATTCAGAGCAGTGGATGCCAATTAAATGCTCATTACAGCCATGGCTGCACATAAAAAGTAAAGGTCTCATTTCTGTCCTCCTTGTTTCTGTCTGCTGCTCTCACATCTCCGGTTCTGCTCCTCTGATGCTGCAACAATTGGGGGTGGGGGCACTTCTTCCACAGCTTCGTTTTTTTTTTTTACCCAGCAGTCCCAGCCGGCAGAGGGAGATATCAGACATATTCCTTATTGCTGCTTGGTGGACTGGAGCGAGAGCCGGCCATATTTGGGTACTTGGATAACTGCTTCTTCCTTGGACAGGAAGCGGCCAGCATGGCTCCACCCAGAACATCTAGGAGGGCACCACCCCAAGCGATGAAGATGGCTGCTCCAAACTCAAACCTGGGAAGACCAAAAGAAAATGATATAAAATGATATATAATCTATCTATATAACAAACTATAATGCTTAGATTAAATAATCATTTGGTTTCTCTGTTTGATTTTTGAATTTTAAAGTATTTTGAGCCAATTCTACATTTAGTTTATAACTATAATTTGGTAATACTTTTTTTAAAATAAGGTCTGTATGTTAGCTGCAGCAGGCAGTGATCTGAGAACTCGGTTTAAGTAAATACTAGAATTATTAAGATGTTCTTGGGTCAAACTAGCAGTTGCTGAAAATCAAGCTAATGTGCTCTGAGTCAAGCTAATAGTTGTTGAAAGCCAAGCTAACAACTACTTCAAAGTTAAGCCAACATCTATTTAAAGTCATGCTAAGAGTAATTTAAAGTCAAGCTAATATCTTCTCAGAGATTAGCTAACATTTGCTTAAAGTCAGGCTTACACCTGCTCAGAGTGGAGCTAACAGCTGCTCATAGTCAAGCTAACAGTAGTTTAGATAAAAGCTAACATACAGTCGATGCTAAGGGAACAAGATAGTCAAGTCTAGAGCCTGTTTTCTTAGAGTCAAGTTAGTAGCTGCTTAAAGTCAAGCTACTAAGCGTTTAACATTTACTCTGAAGCTAACTCAAGCACCTTTATGTTTTTAAAATGTATGGTGATTTTGAAAAGGCATTTAAGCCTTTTCAAAATCACGTATTTTAACCGTTTATCATAGTTTTGAGTTTAGACAGGAAGCATAGCAGTAGTTCACATAATTAGCAGCATGTATGTTGTTTTGTAGAGAAAATTGTGACAATGGAAACAGGTTTTAGCTTTTTAAGACAACAGAACATTCTTTAATGGGCCATGTGGTGAGTAACTGAGTCTTTAACACTGAATCACTATTAGCTTTACTTCTGGATTAGCATTTCTCAA